CTTTAGATATATGACTAGATAATGTACCTTTAGTTGATTTACATAGAAAATATGGATATATATATTATATTATATACGAAATTTATTCAAATATTTGTCTTTTAGTCATTAAACTGTTCTTCGTATCACAATCTAACTTCGTTGAGATTGAAGCAAGTTGCAAGAGAAAAATTTTTTGTTTTTTCGTTTTTTGAATTTAATGAAACAGTCAAAATTATGCGATGAACTTTTCGTATGGAAAGAATTATAAATTTAAAATTAAAAAAGATTTATTGTTAATTTTAAATAAAATATCTATTATAAAATAACACTGAAAAATAAAAACTGTCTTTGTTTTATAGTTGAGCCGTTGCTTCTTCTGAAGTTTTTACTGAGCATGATAATTGTTGTTCATTAGATTTTTCATAACTATCTTCTATAGTAGAATTTGGATCATATTCAGTACGTAAACGATAAAGAGCATCAACAAATGTAATAAAATCAAGTGTATTAAGTTCTTTTCCATGAAATATTTTCGAATAGTTTTTAAATATTCGAATATATTCATGACGATAAAATAATTTTACATGACGTGCATAAACAATAAGCGATGTACCAGTATGAAATTGTTCAATATAAAGTGTTATTAAATCATTATGTATATGATTATCATCAAACCATTTTTGAATATCTTTTTTTGTCCAATTTTGCAATGTTAATAATAATTTATTTTCTTCATTGGTCATTGTTTTTTGAATTGGTTCAGATGATGAATATGTAACTGGTTGTGTTGATGATACAACAAGAGATTTTTGATCACTAAGAATTGTAGATGAAAGTTCTTTAATAGCATCTGTAAATGATTTTCGTCCAAAATGAATATATTTTTGTCCAGCTATTCGAATACCAAGCCAACCACTAGCTCGATATTGTTGATTAGGAACATAAACAGGTATAATACGTTTTTTAAGTGTATCACTTGCATATGAAAGTTCTTGCCGACATGATTTCGAATTATAATAATCTTTTGAAACAAGTAAAACAATAACAGTAGCCATTTCCATAGCATGAGCAATTTCTTCCCAAACATCATCTGAATGAGCAACTGTACCTTGGGTTTGTTTATAATCAACCCAAGTAGGAACATAAGCAGATAAATGTTCAACAAGTTCTCGACAAAATATTGTATCACTATGTGAATAACTAATCATAGCAAGTGGTTGTTGTTCAATTTTTTCATTTGATATTTGACTTGATATTGATGGTAATGATGGTTTTAAATTCCATAAAATTCCTTCAGCTGCTTTTTTTAATGAACACATATCACGTGGAATTAATTTTATTTTTATACATGTATATAAAGATGATGATGTAGCTAAATTTGATAATATATTCATAAGTATTGAATTTGTTTGAAATTTTTCATGATAACATTGATGAAATGATATACTCCAAAAAAGATTTGTTAATGAAAGTAATGTTTCATCATTAGTTGGTTGATGTACTCGATTTGTATCATGAATTATATTAACAAAATGAATCATTAATTGACATAAACAATCAAATAATTGATTATTTTCATTAACAATTTTTAAAAGTATATTATCATTAACAAATAATTTACTAAGTACACTTAACATTTCTGATACATGAAAACATTCATAAAAGAAATAGTCAGCATGGGATGCTTTAATTGTATATAATACAAGTTCATTAATTACATGACACGTTCGATTATCATTTGATAATGATATTTGTTTGATTTCATCTTCTTCCATTAAAAGTGCATAGATCATAGATTGAATAACATATAAACAATTGTATTGAATTTCTGTGTGATAGTTTTTCATTACTTCTTTATATTCATCAAGTCGTTTTAGACAATTTAATTGATTAAGAATTTGAACACCAATTGTATGTCGAGCAAGTTTTTGAATAATAAGACATATTAAATAATCAATTATATAAGATGGTCTTAAATTATTTTTTGTATCATTATTAACTAACCATTGAACACATGCATGAGGCCATTCATTACGAATAATCATTGGTACAAGTAAAGGATTTTTTGAAAAAGCTTTTATTAAACCAAGAATATTTTTAATAATTGTTTCTCGATGTTGAAATAACCAATGACGTTTAGTAAATGTTAATAAATATGTAAGAAGATTTATTGGAATTTTATCTTCAGTTACTGGTGTGAATACACTTGAATATGCTATAATAGGCAATAAACAATTAACAAGATCATCATATTTATTATTGTCAGTAAAATAAGTTTCTTTAAGTAGAACAATATAATTTTGAAATATAAGTTGAACTGGTGATACATCTTTAAGTACAGTAAATATTTCAAAAAAACATACGCCATCAAAAGCTTTTGTTAATGTTTCCAAGAAATTTTTTGTTTGAATAAAATTATTATGATCATTTTTATCATCGTTTGACAATATTTTATCAAATAATGGAACTATTCGATAGAAATTATCAACAATTCTAAAAGCAAATGCTTTATTGTTGCTTAAACCATTCTGTAGTGAACGTTTCAGTTGAGTATGTAGTTCTTTAATACCATCAGCATAAGTACATGACGATTGTGACACAGATAAAGATTTTAAATTATCAATAAATTCATCATGTACCATTTGATCTTGTACAGAAGTTAAATCATCACTCATTTTTTTTTTATAACGCAATATAAAACCTTGAGTTGCAAGTGTATATTTATTGACTATACGTTCTATTGTGTGCGATTTTACCTTGTTAATGATATACGTCGCTAAAGTGATGTTTTGAATACATGTCAATCGTACGTATTTATATATACATTAGCATACAAAAAACACGTCATGTGAACTAGTATCAGTAATGCCTTGTCATGCTGATAACACCAAAGAATGTTAGTATTTTTTTTTTCAGTGATTATTAAATCTCAAACAGTTTTATTTATTGATTTTAGTGCTTTGTCAATAGACTATATTTTTCTTACTTATAATCAATTTTATTCGATGAATAATCTTCATTTTTCTTTTCATACTATGGCAACAACACATAAATACACTTAAGCACGCACATAAACACAAAAGAAAATAATATAAGAACATTCAAAAAATATAATTAACCATGTCGAATCAAATATTGTGCTTTTTTATTAGCACCTTCAACACGTTGCATTCCAGCTTCAGTTTTCTTTGTAATACGTTCAGTTCGATCAGTTTGCTCGGTTATTGTATCACCCATATCAAGTGCCATATTTTTAAGATTACCAAGGTAACTACTAACTAATGTTAAATTATCATCCATTTCTGTTTCACGATCATCATTTGTAATACGATTTATATAACCACCATTAGGCATTCCTTCATCACTAGCTATACGTAATTTAGGTTCTTTAGTTGTAGGTGATGATGTTTCACCATTAAATCCTGTACTACTATTTGAATATGGTCGATGATGTGTACGAAAACGTTGCCATGGTAGAACACATAAGCCACAACATTTTTGTAAATTAGTTAAATTTTTTTCAGCTTCAGTCATTCCAGCATGAATATTATCAAGACCAGTCTAATTTATGTTTAAGAATATAACTAGTTTGAAAAAGAAAAATTACAAAGAAATTCTTACTTCAATTCGCTTGAGTTTTTCACCTTGTTCATCAAGCATTACCATTGTATTTGAACCGATTTCTTGAGATTCGGCAACGAAACCAATCATACGACGTGTTGATTCCAATGAATCGTTTGTTTTTTGATTAATTTGTGATTGAACTGCATTTAATGCATCATTACCTTGTTCGTCATTGTTGTTTGGAGAATACATGATTTTATGTTGTTTTTTGATATCTTATGTTGCCACTTTTTTTGAATAAACTCGAAGAAAATGAAGAATAGATAATATATATATATGTGGATACGTAGAGAAGCAAACGAAAAGATGTAACAGCAGAGTATCACAATTAAGATAGGGTAGTGATAGCGAACGAAAAGAAGAAGAATAGAGAGTAGCACGATGAAGAGATCACGTTGTAAATATACACACTTATCTTTTTTTTTTTTATATTTAATTTCTTTTTTGATAGTAAACATTATTTAATATTTATGTATAGTTGAAAAGAAGAAGTGTATATAACCTGTTAATTGATTATGAATTGTAAAACAATAATGAATATAATTTAATCGAATTCACTAAATAAAGATAAATCTAAAGGATTACTAGGATTGTAATCATTAACAGATACTGTTGTTTTTATATAAAAAAAAAATCTTTAAACACAATCCGTTTCTTTAATCAAACGAAATAAAACTCAACTGTATCATTCATTAAGTACAGGTGGCGCTTCATTACACCATCTGTTATTATTGGTTAATTGGATAGTGTCTCTTTGTCTCTCTGTGGACGACTATCCGTCCGTCAAAGAAATATTCATTCATTGTTAATTGCATATCGCTAGACATTTGTTTGTCTTTTAGATCATATAACGATGTCATCGTTTGCAAGTCCTATTCCTCCGCCTGTTTTTGACTCGGATGAATCGGATGTAGCCAGTCAACAATCTACAGACAGTAGTTATTTAGCATCACAATTTAATCGTCGTACTCGTCTATCATTTTCACCAAAATTAACTATAAATAGTAGTTCTAGTCAAGTTTTACCACCATCATCAGTACTTTTTGATGATTCAACATGTGGTAGTTGTAGTCAACCATTACAAGATGATTCACGTAATCATAGTCAACAGTCATCACAACAAGATTTTATTCTTAATGATTCAATTAATATTGAATCAGCATTATCACGTTTAACAACATTATCTCAAACATCATCCGAAATATCTTATCAATCATCACCTTTATCATCACATATAACAAAATCAAATGAATTTAAATCACCTTATCATCTTCGTTTTACATCATTATCTGGTACTGTCGCAGCAAAACCAACAACAAGTTATACAGTTAAATATGCGACAAAAACTACAACAAATAATAATAATAATAATAATAACAAACGTAAACGAAGTACAACAAGAAATCGTGAAACAAAAATACGATCAGATATATCTATTGATGGAATATCAATTAAAACACCTAATCAATCACCATGTACACGACGAAAAAATCTTGATTATGTACAAGAAAGTACATTTCGTTCACCAAAAGTTCAACGTCGTAGTCGTCATCATGATGATTCAATTAATTTAACAACATCAACTCAACATGAACAATCAATATCGAAATCAAAAGGTATAGTTTTGATTATCTTTTTTTTTTGTATTCGAATTTATTCTTTTTATTAGGTGACTTAGTTAATACAAATCCATTTAGTCCACAATTAGATATTTCACAAACGAAACGTACTAAATTTGATTCACCATGTATACCAATAAACACAACAACGACACCAACTCCACGTTATCGTACACGTCTTGTTGCTAAACGTGATCAACAAACTATTGTTCATGTACCATCTGAACGTCGACAATCATTACGTAATGTTCCAGCAGTTAGTTCACCATCATTACGTGAATTAACAATTCGACGATTTGATGAAGAATTTCATCAAGAAGTTTTACTTGGTCAAGGTGAATTTTCACATGTTTATTTATGTAAAAATCGTCTTGATGGTATAACATATGCTATTAAAGCATCTAAACAACCAGTACTTGGTACAAGTTATGAACAAATGGCATGGCGTGAAACATGTGCACATGCTATACTTATATCACATGAAAATTTAGTACGTTATCATTCAGCATGGATTGAACCTGATGGAAGATTTTTTGTTCAATTAGAATATTGTAATGGTGGTTCATTAGGTGATATATTAGAAAAAAATCGACGTAATCATATGTTTATAAATGAACAACAATTAAAACAAATTCTTCATCAAATAAGTGATGCATTAGCATTTATGCATGCACAAGATTTAGCACATTTAGATATAAAACCAGCTAATATTATGTTATGTCAACGTTCAATAAATATTAATTTTAATAAAGATGATGAAAATAATAATAATAATAATGATGATGATGTAAATATAAATAATATAATTTATAAATTAACTGATTTAGGACATGTTAGTCAAATAAGTTTATCATCAATTGAAGAAGATGGTGATAGTCGTTATTTAGCATTAGAAGCTTTACAAAAATCAAATTCGAAACAAATTAATATAGGTAAATGTGATATTTTTTCATTAGGTTTAACATTATATGTTTGTGGAACAAATCGTGAAATGCCTATACAAGGTAATGAATGGCAACAATTAAGATTAAATATTAATCATTATCTTCATTCAATTTCACATTGTACAAATCAACTTAATGAACTTATACTTGGACGTATGTGTAATGTCGATCCGAATCAACGACCATCAGCTTATGAAGTAAGTTTACAAATCGATGAGTGATATGCGGAATTAATTAGGAAACATACGATTGTTTAGAATATGAGTAGGACTTAGTGAAGCTAAGAAAATATCATACGGATCCATGTTTATGCGTTATCTAGCTAAAGTTATGATTGTTTTAATAGGATTTCGGCTTTTAGACCCGTAAATCATAAAAAACTTAATTACAAGATTTTTATCTGAAGTTTTGACTACTAGAATATCTAATGAATGCTTGCATGTAAAAATGCAAATCATAGAATTGTGCTATCGTAGACAACCGACATCTGAAGAAAAATACATTCGTTTGAGCTGAAATTTTTAGGATATTCTACTGGTCATGTACCTGAATCTTGTTGGAATTTTTTGTTTCACTGATGAGAGAACCTCTTCCAATTTCAATGATTTTTGCCTATAGATACTACGTAGTCTTCTAATAAAAATCCTAAATGGATTTGGGTTCGTATTGATATTTGACAAATCTATCGAATTTCGATTTGAAACTTTGTGAATATAGAGAACTCAACATAAAACAATTCAAGTTTTGAAGAAAAACAAAGTTTCAAGTTGAAATTTGATAGTTTAGTCAAATCTCAATAGGAACTCAAATCTTGTAAGAGTTTTTATTAGAATACTATGTAGTATCTATAGACAAAAAATCATTGAAATCGGAAGAGGGCAGCTGATGAGGTTCGTGCGTAGCTCCTATTCATAGCCAAAATATGGAATCGAATGGCTTCCAACAGTTGGACATATTCCCTCGTAAGATGTCACCACTAATTTTTCTAACTGATGACTATCTAATCTTAAATAAAGTTTTAATTGATTGTAGTTGTAAAATTTTGGATGAGCACGAGTCTCTGTATATAGTATCACTGTTAAAATTAAGAACTGTTCATATTCTTTTGGATTTGTATCAAGTTTCGAGAGCAACGAAGAACTACGTGTATTCTGTTTTAATTAACATGTCCCTAATTGGTTAAGCTTTTAGCCTATTTATTATCGACTTTCTAATGTTTATTTTATTTTTTAGCTTTTACTTAATCCTGTTGCCAGTCCATCATTACCGACTAGTCGTGAATCACTTCGGTAGGTTTTATTGATTGTTAAGAAAATGAAAATATCATTACATTATTTATCATTTAGACATAGTTTAAAACGTGAACGTCTTAAGAATTTAATGTTAAATAAAAAATTACTTAGTCATTATCTTTTAACAAATTCATCCGATCTTCAAACATTACCAACAAGTATGAACGATACAAATAATACAAGTATTCAATGCCAACCATTATTTGTTTCTCCAACACAATCTACAATTGTTCCACAACATCATCAATATGCATCAACGCCAAATGATAATTCAAGAAAATTATTAATTAATACAGCAAATACACCATTATATTCAATAACAACATCAACAAATATAAATCAATCATTTGAATCACCAGTACGTGGTGGTTCACTTGCAATGAAACAACAAACAAAACCAATTGGTTCGCATATGTTTCGTCATTATTCTAGTATCATCTAGATTCAATTTCAATTATGCTCGTTTCTCTTCCTTTTTCTTTTTCATTAGTAGCCATAATACATTGTGACATGTTCACCAATCAACACGTTGTTCTCTCATATTGCTTATCAACCAATAATAATAATAATAAGATGGATAAAATTTTTTTTTCGTGCTCTGTCTCGTTCTTTTTGTTCTTTCTCTCGATCTGACGAAATAGTAACAAGATTGTATACATTTCTTTTTTTTTTTTGTTCTCAAACATGATCTCTAGTCCTATTGCTTGTCTATTTCTGTAAAAATTTGGTCTATTTTTCTTTTTTCTTTTTTTTTGGTTAATCTGTGTTTTTTTTGCTCTTGTTAGATTTGTTCGAAATGAAAAAAATTTATTATTGATAAGAAAGAAAGAAAAAACAAACTTTGTATTATTTTTCTGTATTGAAGATGTTTGACAACAATGATGATTGTAAACAATCATCCAGTAAACTTATTTGGCGTATTATAAATGGAATTGGATGTTTATTTTTTCTTTTTGCTGCTTTTGTTAATTTAAATGATCATGATTGGTATTTATGGGTAACAATTTATATGTCTACATCTATTTTTCTTGCTATTGAATTGTTTAATTATCGATCATTATCAATTGTTATTATTTATATGAATGCTTTTGTTTTTTGCATACTTCTTGCATTTGGTTGTCATTTTCTTTTTAAATATCAATATGAAAATAATATCCATAGTATGAAAAATCATTTTTTACATTATGAAGAAGGACGAGAATTAAGTGGATTAGCTTTAGCTAGTAGTTGGCTATTTTTAATATTATTAAATCGTTTAATACATTTTAATTATCGTTTATCATTTGTTATTGTTTCATGTGGATTATTTCTTACGTTGATACCTATTGGAATGTTGTCTGTTTGTTTTGTATCTGATGAATGGCGACAACGTTTTCCTCAATGTCATACTATGATTGCATCTGAACATCATTCTCATTTTCATCCTACTTTATAAAAGAAAAGAAAAGGTTTTTTTGTTTTCCTATGCATGAGTGAATCTATTATTTTAGTTTAATATATAAAACATTGTAATCTATTCTTTGTTAAATATAAACACATTCCTTATTTATAATTATTGTTATTGGAATATTTAATTGGGTATAGTGAATTAGTATAATAATAATAATAATAATAAAAGATCTTTAATTATTTTAGATAAAGAAAAATCTAGGTCAATGTTTAATCTATTTATAATCGGTGTGATTTTAATGATTATAATCATCTATTTACTTATTCAATATGTTCTCGATGAACGACAATTATTTAAACTTAAATATACCTTTTATGTTACTATAGTCATGTTAGTTGCCATTATAGTACAACCTATATTTGTTCTACGACCACGCAATCCATTAAACATACGTCTAGCATCTATCGTATTGAATCCAATATTTCGTTTATTAAATTTAAAATATCGTGTTGAAAATGCTCAAGTATTAGATGACGATAAAACTTGTATTATTGTTGCAAATCATCAATCATCTATAGATTTTATTGGCATGATGCATATTTGGTCAGAACATATTCGATATTGTACAATTTTAGCAAAAAAAGAATTAATTTGGGTTGGACCATTTGGTATAACATCATGGTTAGCTGGTGTAGAATTTATTGATAGAAAAAATCGTCAACAATCAAGTGAAACAATGTCTTATATAATGAAAAAAATTCAAAATAAATCACTTCGATTATGGATTTTTCCTGAAGGTATTATAGAAAATTGATTAGTATTTAATTTGATCTTTTTTGTTTTTCTTTTATAAAATTAGGAACACGAAATATGAATGAAACATTTCTTCCATTTAAACTTGGTGCTTTTCGTTTGGCTATTGAAGCACAAGTACCAATTGTACCGATTGTTTTTTCATCTTACAAGTCAATATATAATGCAGACAAATCGAATAATACTTATTATTGGCGTCCCGGTTGTATAACTATCAAATGTCTTGAACCAATCAATACGACAGGTATGACACTTGAAAATGATCTTCAACGATTAACTGAAATGACTCGAAAACGTATGCTTGATGAATATCTAACAATTCAGACAACTATGGACGAAGACAAAAAGGGCAAATGATAATGAGATACTTGAGATTGAATGTATGCATTAATTATTCTTAACGTTAAGAGAGGTTGATGATCCAGTGAAGAGTTTTTGTTTTATTTAAGTGTGATATCTTCTTACTCATATATTCTTTCTCCTCTTTTTTTTTTGTGTAATATGAACGAACATAAAATAAGCTTTTTTTTTGTCGTTCTTCCAACACTTTCTTTTTTCGTATACGTGTGTAATCCATTTGATAAACTAGGTCTAATTATAATTGTTTACTTTCCTTCTTTATATTGTGTTAATCTCTATCTTTTGTTTTATATTTTGTCATTGATGATGACATTATGTTAATAAAGAACAAATATATAAATGAAGGTATTTTGAATATCAAAGCATGTAAAAAGAAAAAAATAAATAAATAAAGGATGTATATCTTGTTAACACCTACTTGAAAATCTTTATCGAAAACTTTGATGGAGAATTCGTGTTTTTTTACTATTGAAAAATAAAATCGATGAAGTACTATGAAATGAAAAATAGTAATTTATAAAATTACAGCTGCTGTGAAGCAATAATATGAAGCATTATTTGCACCAAACAAAAAAACAATATGTATCATATTTTATACTTAGGGAATATCTTTTATTTAATAGTAACTAATAATTGAACTATGAAATTTACTTTATGATTTCTGAGATTCAATCGAGAACATTGAGAGTATGATTTTCAGGTTGGTTGTCACGCTGAGTCCCTCCGCTAACAGTTGAGTTCGCTTAAAAAGTGGTTTGAACCCTCTTCTAGAAACGTTATCAGAGGATCTTTGCCCTTCATAAGCACATAGTCAGAGGACTGAGCTCTCCATACAAATTTTTTCTGGTTACACCACTATTTAAGTTGTTATCAATATGGTTTCGAAGCGATGATAATACTACAACAAAGAAAAATGATATGAATATGTATGGTTCACAGATAAAGATGATAATCTTAAATAAGCAGATGTTATCGACACTTTACGTATCACCGAGAACAATAGTTAAGGTTTGATTGAGAAAATATAAATTAGTCTCTACGAATATATACCAGACTTCAACAAAGAATCTGTCGAAGATTATCCCAGATTCAAGAGAATCTCGACTAGGGACAACAATAATGAAGAATAGACTCAGCACCAAAAAGAGCAGAACGAAAACAGAAACTTACTATTAAAGATATTGTTCAACAAGTCGTTGGATAAATTCATTACAAGTATCTGATGTTGTTGAATTACGGATCCAAGCAAAGAATAAAAGAACAAAAGCAACATTTGTTGATATACTTCCACATAATAATTAGAAGCCGATGTTACTATTACTTTCAGTATGATTTGTATAAAACAAGCTATGTGAAATAGTATGATGAAGCTTTGCATTGTTCTATAGGTTCTATTACAATCAAAACTATTGAGATTCATAGGTATCAATAAACATGAGTGGCGTTCATTTTCAATCATTTGAAACATGCATAATTAAAGAAGAGGAAACACTAGAAAAGATAAACAAAGTTTTAGATTTTAAAATAAAAACTTGAGGTAAACTTAATATAAGAGAATCAGTAGAAAAGGTATCAATTGAAGTTTAATATTATGTGTATGATAGTTTACTGAAGAGATATACGATCTTCAAATAGCATTTTTTTTAGCCGATTTTTATTCAGTAAAATTTAAATTAATAAAAGACTCTTTACTTGGAAAATTTTATCAATTATCAAAGGTATGTATATAGCAATAAGAAAAAAAATGAGTCACATACTGTTGAGTTTTCGATAAAAATCGGATAATTCCATGATGACAGCAATGTTTCAAAGTCGTCTACAATAGATCATACGATCTGAAACATGAAATCTTACGAGAGAAGTCTTCCAACTGTTCAATGGCTTTTGAGTCGAGACTATGTGCATTATGTCGATGCAAATGAGCGATGAAACGTTCGTGTCCTTAACTTATTGCTATAGAGATGCTGCACTTTAATGGTATTTTTTAAATAAATGCCTCGGTTCTTCTAAGGAATACCAACCAAACTGATTTTCGAATTTCGACTTGAAATTTTGCATAGAGACGTCTTAGTGAGAATAGGTTTTTTTTGAATGTTTCAAGTTTTGTCGCCGTTTGTATCCTAACATACAACTATGGTAAGAGCGTGTCTTTTACACCACACACATAAACCATCAGATTTGATGTTCTCATTTCAGGATAGAAGCAAATCAAAAGACCTGAAACTTTCGCAAAAAAAATCTATTCTGATTAAGACTAGTTTCTATGCAAAGTTTCAACACGAAATTCGAAACTCAGGTTTTTTCTGGTGTTCTTGAAGGAGACCATGACATTTATTTAAAGAATACCATATAAGTGCAGTATCTTCGTAGCAATAAGCTAAGAACACAAACTCTTCATAGCTCATTTGAATTTGTATAATGCACAGTCGTGACTCAAAAGCGATTGAACAGTTGAAGTATTTCTCTCGTTGGTAAAGTTAATACATTATAGGTATGCATCACTTACAGTTATCTTGGAACTAATTTATCAGTCATAAATTAGGTCTATTGCTAGCCTAACATAGATGATAGAGATTAGTATAAGAATATTAATTGTATATCCAGTCAGAACTGGAGCTGGTCCATACCTAATTCGAGATGTTTCCGTGTAACGGTCATTTCATCATTGTAATATAGTATCTTTTAAGAAGATATACAGAGAATATTAACTTCTCAGTTTTGACCATCCCACTGACTTTTTAATGAGGATTATTGAAGATTTCCTACGTAATAATTCTGACTAAGATTTACTTTTCAAAATGCAAATTCTATACACAAACAAATCATTTATGTTCTTCAATAAACGTTCTTGAGTCTTCATGGTAATCATCAAATTCATATGGAATGTGCTTTTTGTTTTAAATAACGAGTGACTCATATCGTCTATATAAACTTATTAAAAGACTATTCAGTATTACTGACACGATCATTTTATTTAAAAAAGTGCATGAAGTTATTCAAATAAAACAAAAACTCATAAGAATTATTCTTCAAAATAATAAATAAACATTTTTTGTATGTTTGTTTGTTTATGATTAATCTGTTTATCGAAATGTCTTTTTTTATTATATGGCGAATATATATATATATATTTATATACAAAAAAAACAGTTTTCTTCTATTGATGTAAAACAGACGTTGATGGAGCATTGGTTAATGATTCCTCTTGTATTGGTTGACATATTCGTGCATTTTTAAGTAATTTTGAATAGTTATGACGACGACTAAATTAAAACATAAAATCAACTAAAAAATTTATTCTATAGTGTATACATACATTCTTTGAAAGAAACAAACAGTTAAACCAAATGTAATACCAACAATAGCAATTCCTAATAGAACAAATAACAATCGACTTGTTCGATTAACAATTGAATTTCTACTAAAATCATTCGATAAATATAATGATTGATCATCATACAAACGTTCAATATCAATTTTAGCTTGAAAAAGTGCACCTAAACAAAATAATCAATATATCTTAAAAAAAAATAATTTTCACTGATAAAAACCTGTCAAAAGTGCTGTATAATTATATAATGATGGTGCATTGCCGGTTTTCATATTGAAAGGTAAAACCGGTTCATCAGCGGTGATATTTAAACAAATCGATGATGAACCATATGGTACAACATTTATTAAATGAATATTACCAATTCCATATCTTTTTTTTTTTGTTATTTGAAATAAAATTGAATTTCAAAAACGAATTCACTTACTCAGCATCGCAATGATAATCTTTTTTACAAAATTCATTTAAATGATGAACAATTGACATTCGAGTTCTATTCCATAATGATTGTTCCATCCACTATTCGAAAGAAATAATTCTTACAAAAGAGAGAAGAATGCAAATCCTACTGTTTGTAATGTAAATCCATCCAAAATAATCGAAACAGGTAAAGTTGTTTTAATACCGTCTGTATTTATATTTCAACAAAAAAAAAATAATATCTTTCAAATAATAATTTACCTGTATAACCAATTTTTATAGTTGCCAAAAGAATAGTAGTTATTATGGTTAACAGCATTATCTTTCAGCTAATAGGAAAAAAAGAAGGTCAATATGACCACTAACTGAACTATATGTATATAATATGTATGAAATATCTATGTGATATGGAATGCTATTTTCTTCGTTCTCTTCCTATAATGATGACCATCAATGTAATGTTGAAGATGATGATTTATTTTTTCTGGCATATAGAAAGATACTGTCCGATGATGAGAAAAGAAAAAAGAAAACACATTTTGCCTTGCCCTCAATCTATCGAACATGCTTGCATGAATATGCATCTAATTGCAATCCTTCTTCTTCTCTAGGGCTCGTCTGCATATATAGGGAAATCAGTTGAGCATCATTTCTTTTGTATAGAAATACACATGTGTAAGAGATTACATATATAATATGAAGAAAAAAGAAATAGACTTTGTTCAAACTATGACTGATTTCATACTTGTGCTTTTCTTGTTTTTTTTTTGTTTAATAGAACGATGATCACATATTCAAGAATGTTCTATACTTATCAATGAATCAATCGATTTTTTTTCTCGAGGAATGTATGTTTAACAGATGTTTCGAAGAATATACAATGAATCGATCATTGTCATGATGTATTTTATCTATGCTCGAATAATCTTTATGTTTAATTAAACTTAATGTTTATTTTTCATGTAAAAAATATTGAAAAAAAATATTCGTGATTATTGTGATATTATTAGGATATCAATAGATGAATTAATATTTTTTGCATTTAAGTTTTTCATCATCTAATACATTTTATTAAAAAACAAAATATACTACAAGATGCAGCGTGAAAATCTCTACAATCTACAATACAAAGATTATTTTATATATGCATCGTTAGTTTTCAAAATAGACAAAATTCTATGTGACTAATTTTCGACTCTGTGAACAAGATCGTTTTTTTCTTGTTACACGATAAATTTCTTTTCTTATTCGATCAATTAATGAATCAGAATTTTTAACTTTATTTCATTGCATATTATTAGCAATAGCGTTTCACATAACAATCTACAGTATTGAGATCATGACTGTTTGATGGTCATCTGTAATTGGTTATGAAATTCTCCTTGCATCATGCCAATGATTTCTGATGTGTATGCGATATGGCATTGCCTTGTTGATAGATGAAATTATCAGCTATTAGTTGGCGCTGACTTCCAGCTTATACATATGCAACAACAACTTCAACATAGTTCTCATACAATAATGTTTCACTAGATTTAAATATAATTGGAGACTCTAGTCAATTTTTAGAAACTTCTAAATATATATATAGAACATTCGTTCATTCATTCAAATTGTTTTATTGAACTTAAATTCCATATCATAATTCATGGATTTTCAAAAAGTTCACGTGAATTGAAAGATCAAAAACTCATAGTCATATGTGTAAAATCATTTTAAACTTTTAGTGCATTAACATTTACCAAACATTTGTCTTTTTTTTTCTCGTTTGTTTTTAAATTACTGTACATAAGCGATATCTACGAAGTCACAAGAACTCTTCATAATAATGATAATAATTTAGAAATAATATTAGTGTCTGAAGGCATAACCAGGGTTTTGATAGTGGGGATTTGAAGGTTGAAATTGGCTGAGCTCTCTGTTTGGTTGCATGGCTTCAAACAGTGAAGAGTTTCAGCTAGATACGAGCACGATGGTTTCAATCTCGATTCTGTCAGGATCAAAAACAAACACTCTCGCTTATATCTAGACTCAACATTCACATTGCTTACGTTACTATTAGCAACAAACTTGATGAATTAGCTTTAAACATAACTTATTGAATTATTTTCTTAGACATACGTTTTTTTCGTGAATATTCTACTGTTTCACCCTAATGTAATATAATTTTGATCTCAACTTTTATATCAAACAGGTTTTTTTTTGATTTATAACGGTCATTAAATAGAAATATTTTGTCGTATTTATTGAAAAATAATCTAAATAAACAAATATTGGATTTTTTAAAAATGTTCTTCTACCAAACACAATCCAATAGATGACTTATGTTTACCAAAAAAAATATTCATACATGAATGAATGATGTATGAAAGTATTCAACATGACCTTTACATAATTTTCTCCTTTTTTTTCAACGATCTTCGCTGTGAACGTAATAGATTTTCCAGCTTTTACATACAGAAAAAAAATAATACACTTTCTAACAGCTAACTCTCAACAGTAATGTTATTTTATTTTATTTTATTTTTTTTATTGTCATAAGATAATCTCTAGAGATTATGATTAGTTTTCGAAATAATATTCAACTCGAAAACTATGTCAACTAGTACTCCTTTAGAATAACAACTTTTTGCCTGTTACTGACGCATGATTGTCATGTAGTTAGAATAAAATATATATTGCTCTATAATTATATGTCGTTTTAAAAAGATTTTAAAGTAATATATTATTCATTAAATTCTTCAACAAAAATTTGTTTTTTTTTTGAAGGCTTGAGATGAACGAATAATTATTGCAAATTTTAATCAAACAATTGCTACTCATATGTTTTGTCAGGTATATATGATAAAATTCAACAAAAAAAAATTTCTTATTTATTTTCAAAGGATAGGCAGCTCGTGAACAAGTTTATGGTTCTCGTTATCAATGGATTATTCTTGGTTATCCATCATTATCAACTTGGTGGAATGAACCAACTGATTGTTCAATGCAAGAAATAATTCGTGTAATTAATGGTACATTACAAACACGTCTACCACCTTTATCTATTGATGATAATGAAGTATTTTTAAAAAAATCTTATTGAGAAAAACAAAACAAAATAAAAGAATTTTTTTTTTGTTTTTGAATTATTTTTTAGAATCAATTAGAATATATCACGGAATATATAAAACAATTTTCTAAATTAGAAAAAGATTATTTTCATGGTTATGTATATGATACAATATGGAGTTTAGCATATCTTTATCAATCACATTTATTAAGTAATCAATCAATTATTGGAATATTTTAAAATTTTCTTGAAAATATTGATTTTATTTATGCTACTGTAAGTGAATTAGATAAGCAAAAAAACAAAAACAAAGAATATTTATCAATATTGTTAACTTTTCAGGGAAGAATCAGGTATTTAAATGGTGAACGAATAGGTGAAGTACTTGTTGAACAATTTGTTGGTAAGAAAAATATTTAAGAAAAAACAATTATGTTTTGTTTTTTTCTAAATAAAATTTCAATATAAAATTTAGCTTGTCGAATGATGAAAGATAAAACATGTAGAATTCCATGTTATCAAGAAGAAGATGATTATCATTTAACTGTTGTGAAAATTTTTCTTGCCAAATATTTAGAATCAAAAGATGATTCACCAATTTTATATAAACTTAATCCAATTATGTGGCATGGTTTGTTTTTATTTTATTAGAAAATATGGTTTTTCTGTTTGATAGAACATGATCTAAAACGAGTGTTGAAGTATAGGAATAAAAATTTGAACTTTTCACAGATCGTACATGCTGTAATCAAGGCAATATAATAGATGTTAGTCAAACACCATTACAGACGTTGAGGATTAAATAATGGATGCGTTGAAAGTTTTGAGATATTGTAAAATGAAAATGTGTCAGCAGTATACAACTATCTTGATGTCGATTCATGAAGATCTTATCTCTTTTGTAAACAGAAATTTTTAGAAATATTAGGAAATTCGCGATTGTCTCCTTCGAAAGAATAAACAATGAAGTTTAGATAACGTATAACATTTCAACAATATTTTTCCATAAATTCAATTGCATTTAGGATAGATTTATTATATTGTAATTTTATCTTAATTCAAACAAATGCAGATAATTACTGCTTATATCTTACTAATCGAAATATCTATGATATTCGTTACAATTCAGAGATAATAGAAAAGGAATCATCCATAGTCAATATGATTCACTATTACGTTCTATTATTCATGTAGTTCCATGAAATGAATTGTCGATGCAATGCGCTCAAGCTTGTATTGACAGTGGTGAAATTTGAGTTATGTTTTATTGATTTACTTCGTGGAACTTCTTCATGTACGTTCAATCAATAGAAAAAAAACGGATGCATATGAGCATAAGAACGCGATAGGTTCTGAAATCCGTTCAAACTTTATTCTCAGGTCTTTCATAAATTAACTAATAACTCCTGAAATATAAATGTAATAAAAATTCCGAACCTACATTGAGAAAGTACACAAAATTCTGATGTTAAACCAATATTTTATAGCTTCTGCTAATTGTCTTAAACGATCCAAAAATGAAGAAACATATTATTTCAAAATTTTTGGCCCATCCGTTAAAAGGATAGTGAAGAAATGTATGCCAAAATAGATAGAATAGAACAATCTTCCATTAGTTAGAAAAAATAGTTACATCTTACTCCACATTTTAATTCTGTAAAGATTGTGCTAATAGGTTTTTTTTGTTAAGGAAATGGTCCACCACGAGATCGAACAAATCAAACAATTCAATTTGAACATATTTATTTGTCAGTATTTATATCAATATCAATATGTAGTGGAATTGGATTGTTTATATCATGTACTTTTCTTGCTTTTAATATTCATTTTCGATCACATAGGTAAAAGAGAAAATAAAGGATAATTGAATTTTTTATTTTTATTTCATTTAGATATATTCGTATGTCAAGTCCAACATTAAATAATATTATTTTAGGCTGTTGTATGTTAGCTTATATTAATATGATATTAATCCTTTGGCCGCCGCCGCCATTTATAAACGTCATGGACTTTATCAGTGTCTAAACTTGATGCAATCAATCGTAATGAATGTTTTTTAGATGCATTTACATAAGAACAAGCATTGGATAATGTGCGCTCTTCAACATACCATTTTACAAAGACAAACTATAGAACCATTCCATAAAAGATAAATAAACTTTCTTCAAAATCGTTTCCTCCTTCTCTTATGTCGGCAGTCAAATGGTTAATTCTAATATTCTCAAATGGTACAAACTTTTGATTTTATTCATATAACTGATTATTTCTTTTTACGATTATTAGATAAATAAAGAATCGGCACTCGAATCTTCCCATCGCATTTTACAATCGAGTAAAACTCGAATATCATCTAGTTCCATGTGAGAACATATTTTTCTTAGTTATTATTTAAATAAAAGCGCAATGCTATTGCTAGTAAAAATGATATTATTCAAATTTAAATTATAGATAAATAATTACAAAAGAACAATCAAATTACTTTTCTTCAACTATAGCATATATTAAAGAAATATGTTTATTCTTGTTATAATGATTTGATTTGATTTTAACTTTCAAACTACCTTTTTTTATTGAAAGAACTTCGAACAAATATTTATAATAAAGGAAAAAACTTATGAAAAGTTTTTGGTCGAACAAATGGTTTATGTATATGAAGTTTTTTTACTTGAGTACAATTGAGACGTATTGGATCAGTAATAAAATTGTTTGTTAACATTGTAAGTGATTCGTATGTGATGCAGAGATCTAACAAACAAGGCAAATGAGTGTTTTTAGTCAAAAGAAATTGTTCAGCATAATCAGCATGTGATTTAACCAAATCGAGAAGAATAAGATGAGGAAATATAATTAATGTCGACGAATGTTCTTTGTCTTTTTGTGGTCGACTATTATATATAGTTAATTCTTTGATAAAAGGAAAATAATGAAATGTGAGTTTGAAAAACTGATGTTCAAAAGGACATGCAATATCATTCATTGTTAGACATCGAACTTTATCAAATATACCATCTTGAAAATGAAAAGAGTTGTTAAGACCAAAAAAATGTTCGAATTGATATGGAAGTGAATAGACATGACAATGGCCTATGTTCTTCATTTGTTGAGAAAAAAACATATGAACTAACTTGTCCATATCCTCTTCCAATAAAGCTATTTTCAATATCTTCATTAGATGAAAGATGAATTTTTTTCTTTTCTATAATAGCTACTGTATTTATACTGAAAGTAAATTTGTTTAATCGTAGCATATGAATAAGAATGTCATTATATATTTGAATACCATCAGCATAATTCTTGTCAACTCTTATAACTAACAGAAATAATATCAATTCTTCAAGATTTATCATTCGATGAAGTAATGCAATAATTTGATTGTCATATTCCTGTTCGTAAGTATTCAAAGTCAATGAGAAGCATTTTCAGTTTAGGAAGGTCTTCCTAAAAAAAAATAAAATAACATTAAGAATGTCTTTTTATTGAAAACATAGTTATTGAAATTATATTTACCCAGCCACCATTTATATATGATGGCTTATGTTTATATAAAAATTTCCTCACATTGATAATCAATTTCGATAAAGAATCAAGACGTCCATCAAGAAGATAAAGCCAATCAAAAAAAGTTTCGACATTAATTTTCAATTCAGTTAAATTTGAAGACATAGAACTTATTTCTGGTAAATAATAAATAGAAATCCACGTTCTACGATGAGAAAACAATTGACAAAAATTCAAATGGATTAATCGTTTAGTTAAAGATAAAATCAATGCAAATATATTTGATGCAATTTCAGATAATTGAGATATTGTTTCATTTTGAATATCGATATTCAGATGTGTGATTTGATTAGGAAGGAGATCACGAAGAATTGAATGATCTTTAATGTAAAAAAAAACAAAAATAAAGATGAAATTAAATTTGTTCTATTACTTTATTTTATTAAAAATAAAATAAATTCTTTCAATAATTTACTTGTCAAATACTGAAAAAGTAATTTTTCTTCAAAATTAACAAGTGATAACGAATAAAGTTGAGGATAACTGACAGTAAGAATACGTTCCATTGAATTTTGTTCAATAGTAAGTTTATTTACATGTGAATAAATTTGAGGTAAGAGAGTTTCATTAGAAAAATTGTTAGCCGCTTAAGTCCTCAAAATGGTGTCCATCCAGATAGGCTCCTTGTTCTAATGTGGCCTGTAGTTGCCTATTTTCCAGTAAAACAGAGATTATTCAGAAGTATTAGAATAGGCTCGTGTCATATAGGATGTAGGTGTTTGTGGTTGTGACTGTTGATGAATGTTGGAAACAGACTTCTCTCCACCCACACCTATACCCCCATTATGAAGTCTTCTAAAAAAAATTACTGTGACCGACGAAGAAAAATTTATCCTTACACTTACGTTTATATTTTTATTTTATTATTATGAAAAAGAATAGGAAAAAACTCGTTTCTGATTGATCAGTTTTCCGACCAACGAAAGCTGAGATCAAAAATTCGACCTCATTTTTGAGCTCCTCGCTTCCAACAACCTGTAACCAAGTGTTATCAGAATGATAGAAAACCCGATGAATAGCAAAGGTCATTTCTGATTGATTGGGACAGACAAACATACATACATATTTTCAAATGTAATACCCTTTCTTTCAGAAAATGGAATAACAACACAATTTGATAGTTTATCAACAGCAACAGATGATAGTGATAGTTATCGAACAGTATCAAAATTTCCTAAAACTCGACCAACAGAACTTAGTTCTAAACAAGGTCAAAATGGACAAGAAATTTCTCTTGTTGCTAATCATATGAAAACCTTAGCATCACCTAAATGTAAATTTTTGAATATTATCTTTTTTTTGTTTATGAATATTGTTATTTCTCAATGGGATTTATTATCGATATCAATGTTCATTCGAACCTCATATAAGATTTTATTTACTATTTATCAGTGAATATGTATTGATATAATCTAGATCGAATTACGTAAAATTCTTCGAAAAACATTGGCGAAATCTGGAATTAGAGATGTAGTTTTTGATGGAGAACTTGTTTATTCTTTTGAAGATTTTGGACTTGTATTTGCATTTTTTTTTGAATAAAAAATCGAATTTCGTTTTCGTACATTTTAGAAAAAAATTATTTCTGCGAAACATCCAGTAACTAATGAATTAATAGCAATAAAAATGAAATGCACAGCAACAGCTTCACCTGAATTCTTTCATTTAGCAAATTTGATTGGTCGAAAGTAAATTATTTTTTTTTCCAATTTGTTTTTGTTCCACTGTGTATTGTAGATTATTAGAAATTGCTGGTTTGAAATTACTTTAGCATTAAATAATGCAATGCTAATGCTAAGCCATCATCCCTAACCGTATCATTTAAATAAGTTTGTTTTGCATAATATGTTTTGTGCGTCAAATTATTGAAGGTAAAACAGTATTGAGGTGATTGTTGACTTTATCAATATAACTGAGATTATGATATTTAAGAATTACTTGACTTCTAGTCAAAGGAAAAGCGCAGAATCCGAGAATTCTGCGAAACCCGAGGGAATTCTCAATTTCAGGATTCCGTACTTTTTCAAAACAGAACTAAAGTGCTTTGTTTTAGCAAGAACTTCTAGAAAATCCAAGGGAATCTTATGGAATCTTAGAGAATCCTATGAAATCTTATATAATCCAAGAGAATCCTTGAAATTCAAGGGAATTCAAGATTCCAGGATTATGCACTTTCCCACTTGAAGATTTTCTATGTTTATTTTCCTCTGTTAGAATGCTGTTTTTCTTCTAACTAAATTAATAAAATGAATTATGAAAACATATTAATAGTATTTTTGCAATTGAATCATATTGACAAAGATTTATTAATTACTAATGCTTATTAACTTTAGAGTTTTTTTCTGTAATAAAAGTTTACGTTTTACATCTTGTATATATGACATATATTATCAAAAATTAGTTTGTTTATCTCGTATGTTTGAAACGGTTCAACAAATAAAAAAAACACAAATCAGTTGTCAATTAATAATCAATGGTATATAATAATTATAAAAGTGATATATTGTTTTATATGAATTATTCAAAGGAGTAAGTATATGCACCATGCACCAAATTATACTGAAAGGTACCGAAAAGGTATCATAGTGTTCATAGAACTTTGGAAAAAAATAATATGACAGTATGACTTTCTATTTTAGAAAAATGGATTGTCTTTTTTATGTATACTAATCGAAAGGACATTTTAGATATCGTTTGAAATCAGAATAATGTAATACACATATAGTAAAAAAAGCATACAATGAGTACGTGGCTATGATTATCTTCATCAAAAGCAACCATACTTGATTTTATTCTGAATAAAATACAAATTAATTCATTATATCTTTTATTGACATAATAAAGTTTACTGGAATTTATCAAGATAATATGGATGTGGAGATGGAGTTTGACCCTTACATGCAATGAAGATTGTAAAGATTAGAAAAGTTCTAATTTGTTGGAGATATGATGTTTTAGATATGCATTCTTGTATTGCCAATCTCCTGCTTATATAAAAGTTCTATTTTTTACAGCGTGATGTTTTCGTTCTTTTCTTGAAAGTGCAATTAGCTGTTTTAAATAATTCTATAGTAAATATTTCGTTACAAATTTATGTTATAACATTCATTATCATGTGTTGTGTCTTAATAAAAGATAATAACATATTCTTATAATATTTTGTCGATTTATCTCAGAAATACATTCAACTAAGAGAAATAGATGTAGCGCTGAAATCTCGTAACGATAGATGTCAGAAGGTATTGATGAAAAATTCAAGGCAATATGATTGGAGTGGTTACATTTTCTCATTTCTACAAATAGATTCTGTCCAATATCCCATCTCGTATTTATATTTTTTAAAGACTAGATAGAATAAACGTATTTATATACAACAGTTGTTTTTCATTTACATAAATACATCAATTATCGCTTTCTAAACAATAAACTATTTTTACTTAATTTTTTTTTAAGATGCAACATGGAACTTTAATACTTGAAGATGGTTCTGAATTCAATGGTTTTATATTTGGAGCGTCAGCTAATGCTACCGGTGAAGTCGGTAAGATTCTATTATAATTGATCTCTTCTTTTGTTACGTATTTGTGTCAGGCAAAATTGAGATTTAGGCAAAAATTAAACAAAGCTATTAAAAGACTTGAAATTTTAAAAAAGTTAAAAAACATAAAAATAAATAGTTGATCCTATAAATTTAAGTTAAGTTATATTCAACTTTAATTGAAATTTAACTCAGTTTAGGAAGATGTAGAGTTCGCCACTTTTTTTAATACAAATCTAATTAAAACTTAGGAAGATGTAGAGTTCGCCACTTTTTTCAATGCAAATCTAACTAAAATTTAGGAAGATGTAGAGTTCGCCACGTTTTTCTATGCAAATCTAAATAAAATATAGGAAGATGTAGAGTTCGCCACGTCTTTCTATGCAAATCTAAATAAAATATAGGAAGGTGTAGAGTTTGCTACTGTATTCTATTAAAATTCAATTGATTTTAGAAATTTTTAGAATTGGTCAGTATAGTCTGTCGAAATCTCGTTGAGTTTTGAAAGGCGAGAAATTCGAAAGATTAGACAATATATATTGTTTGAATAGCAGTCAATTATAGTCTTTCAACGAAGTTATTGATATTTTTTTCACTCTTTTAATAATTTATTGTCGTTGAGTTTTTTGTATCAACTATTTGTTTTGACTCTGATTTTTATTAACAAGATCTGTTTATTCACAGAAAACTCGATAAATAGACTTATGTGGGCATTGTCTTTCTTACGATTCAATATAAAATGCTATCAACAAAAACTGTGATAAATATTAATCTCTCGAAAAGTCATTTATATATGATCACCGTAAGAATAGCGGATAACATATAATGAATCACATAGATGATTCAATAATCAATCATAATATGCCTGAAACATGTTGCTATGGATTAATAGAGTTCTTTTGTTGATAAATAGCACAATATTTACATCTAAACTTTGATCATTCAATCAAAAAAACAGCTATTCTAGTTACGCTAGCAGAAAACGCCTACCCGACCAAAAAAAGAAAAAAAAAGGAGGAGGACTAAGATTATGTTTATTTCAATCCTTTTTCACATCTTTGTTCATATACTTCAAGGGTAAAGTTCTGTTTATTCTATATGTTTAGAATATTAATGTGAAAGGTAGATGTTAAAATGTTCAAAAACGAACTTGTTGGCAATATTGATAATATTGGTTTTTGTAATATTTTCTTTTTCGACATGAAAGACAAAGTATTATAAAGATTTTTAAAAGACATCGATTATACTTCTTATAGTTCATCGATAAACTATCTAGACATTTATCGCATCATGCATTAGTCGTGTGGGGAAAAAAAAGAAAATTTGTCAACGAATAACTTTTTAATCTCTTATGATACTGGAGAAAAAAGTGTAGCTGTTTAATGAAATATTCAGCTACTCCTGTCTTCTAACTGAGATATTTCGAGCAAGGACCAAAAATGATAAAAATTCGTCAACTAATACCCTTTTGATCTCTAATAATATTGATGAAATAACCATAGCTGTTCTATGATTACTCAGCCAGCCATTTATTGTAACTGATCTATTTCTAGCAAGGACCGAAAAAAAAAGAATATTCGTCAACTAATAACCTTTTAATTTCTAACAACATTAAAGAAATAAGCGTAGTTTTTTTAATAAATACTCAGGTACTCATTCACTCTAATCGTTTTATTTCGAACAAGGATCATTTCAAGAATTGAATTCTTTTACCTGCTTGTAATAAGTTATCAAATCAATTAAGATATGTATGAAAATGTTTAAATAAGTACAATGATTTTTATGTAGCGGTAGACCTTCAATTGCTGATTATAAAAAGAAGTCCAACACGAAATTTTGTTAGAAGTCAATTAGATACTTAAATCATATAATAGCTGTATATATTTTTTTTTCAACTAAGCTCTTTTAAAAAGTTATCATAATGTTTAAATTGTGACACGAAGTACTGCTGCAAACGAAAGGTTGTTACAAAACAATTAGCTACTTTATCATCAAGTAGCTGTATATTATTCGAAAAAGTATTTCGTTTGAGAAGCTACGGTTTCAACATGATTATATTTCTAAACATTCTTCATCGCTTCAAATAGTAGCATCGGTTAATCAATTTTTGCATCGCATAGTAAAGTTTTCAAGTCAGTATTTTGTACAACAAAAATGCAGCACCAAGATGTAAAACGTTAATCGAAATCTGTTGAAGACTTATTCGTAAGGCGACGAAGAATAATCTTTTCATTCATGCCTTGCATGAGTACAATCTTTTCTCTAAATCTGCTATTGAAAGATTAAAGATGTTTACTTGCTTGTTCATAAAATTGTTTTCGAGATTCAATTTCTGATGTTGAATGAGAAGTCATCACTGTACTTATGATACGATTACATATGTGAAAATGAATGTTCTGCTTTTTTATTTACAGTTTATGTAAACGAATAATTATTTTTTTTTATTGATAGTCAGATCAACAATCAATAAAAAAAATTTTCCTTTTTCGCGCCTACTAAAACTAATTTTACCTAAGTTTAATTTTGCCTAAAGTTTAATTTTGCCTGGAACATATTTTTATTTCTATTTAGTCTTTCAAACTGGTATGGTTGGTTACATTGAATCATTGACTGATCCATCTTATTGTGGACAAATTCTAGTTCTTACTTTTCCACTTATTGGCAACTATGGTTTGTTTCTTTATATCTTAACCTTTGAATATTTATTTTATATTTAAAATTCTTTAGGTGTACCCGATGAAAAAGCTGTTGATGGTTTTGGTATACAGCGATGGGTTGAATCAAATAAAATCCATGCATCAGGATTAATTGTTAGTGATTATACAGAACAGTATAGTCATTGGAATGCTGTTGAATCTCTTTCATCATGGCTAAAAAAACATAATATTCCTGGTCTTTATGGTTAATCATCTTCTTTCTTATTGTTTATAATTACATGATAGTAATTATTTTCATTTTAGGAATTGATACACGTACATTAACTAAAAAGCTTCGTAACCATGGAACAATGCTCGGAAAAGTAAAATCTTCATATTTTTTTTTGTACTTCTTTTTTACGAAATTAAGTATGAATAGATTGTTATGAAAGGAACTGATCCAACATCAATTCAATTTCAAGATCAAATTGAAGCTAATCTTATGATACAAGTTTCTATTCAAGTAAGTAAACTTTTTTAGCTTTTTGACTACTTCTTTTTTTTTTGGTTGAATTATTAGAAACCATACGTAATCAATCCAACAGGAAACATATCTATTGCTTGTATTAATTGTGGTATGAAAAATAATCAATTACGAATTTTATGTCAACTCGGTGGAAAAGTAACAGTCTTTCCATGGAATTATTCTGTTAAGCCAGATGGTATTTTATTTGAAAAACTAAATAATAACTTTCATTTTCTTTTTATTTTCTAGAATTTGATGGTTTATTTTTGAGTAGTGGTCCCGGTGATCCAGAAATTCAATGTCCAGAAACTATTAAAATTATTAAATCATGGATTACAAGTGAAATTATTAAACCGGTATTTGGTATTGGTCTCGGACATCAAGTAAAAATTTTAAATAAATTTGTTCTTTGGTTATGTGGATTGGTTTTTAGTTAATGGCTTTAGCTGCTGGAATGACAATAAAAAAACTTAAATATGGACATCGAGGTCATAATCAAGTATGTCTTTAATAATAACTGTGGAATGTGTAATAATAATTATTAATATTTTCTAGCCATGTTTATTAGAAGGAACTCCATATTGTTTTATAACATCAGAAAATCATCGTTTTGCTGTTCGAACATTAGCTAAAGATTGGAGTGTTTTATTTACAAATCAAAATGATCAATCAAAGGAAGGCATTATTCATGATTCAAAACCATTTTTTAGTGTTCAATTTTATCCAGAACATTATACCGGAACACATGATACAAAAAATTTATTTGAAATATTTCTTGATATTGTTCAATCATATAAATCAACTAAACCAATTAATACTGAAAAGTATTTAGTTGTACAATTAACAAAACGTGTTAGTGATGCTAATGCACCATCACCAGCATTTTTTAAGCGAGTAAACAAAGTTTTAATATTAGGTGGTGATGATTTAACTATTGGACAAGAAGGAGAATTTGATTATTCTGGTAGATGAGTACGCTTTCTATATCATTTTAATTAGTTTTTATTTTAAAGAAAAACAAGCAATTAAAGCAATGAAAACAGAAAATATTAAAACTGTATTAATCAATTCAAATTATGATATAGCTCTAACATCAAAAGAACTTTCGGATAATGTCGTATCTGTACCAAGAACACCAACTCCCAGGTGATTCTCGCTCGGTCGGATTCCGTCGGATTCAAATAATTGCGTCCGTATCTTGTCGGATTTTTGTCGGAATCCCATGAGCCGGATTCCGACTGTCGGATCTGATCGGACACGTGCAAAATCTGATAGGATTCTGTCGGATTTTGTCAGTTTTTATCGGATTCCGACGAAATCCGGACTGGAATCCTGTGCAAGGATTGCTTGTCTTGGGCTTGGGTTGAAGAAATTATTGAATTTCGTCGTCCTAATGGTATTCTACTTAGTTTTGGTAAAGAAACGGCATTAAATTGTGGTGTTAAATTACATGAAGAAGGTATTCTTCAAAAATATTCATGTAATATATTAGGGTGAATAAAATGTTTTCATATGTTAAATTATATATATTTTTTTTTGTTTTCGATAATATGAATAGAACACCGGTTCAATCAATTCAAATTACTACAGATCGATGTTTATTTACACAAAAAATGTCTGATATTGGAGAAAAAGTTGTACCACATAAAGTTGTTGAATCTCTTGAAGAGGTTTGATCAAAAAGATTTGATATATGATCCCTAATGGTCTATTTTAGGCATTGATATCAGCTGAACAACTTGGTTATCCAGTTGTTGTTCGGTATGTAGATATTTTTCATACTTCTCTTGAATAGTTGTTCTATTTAGTGCTACTTTTTCTGAGAGTCAACGTATATCATGTTATGTTGATAATCGTGAAGAATTAATTTCTTTAGTTCCTTCAATATTAACTGATTTATCACACTCATTAATTGATAAATCACAATCATCAATTGATAAAACACTTAAAGGTTGGAAAAAAATTGGATATGAAGTTGTTCGAGATCAATATGATAATTGTATTGTTATATGTAATATGGAAAATATGGATCCATTACCACTTCGTACTGATTATTCAATTGTTATTGCACCAAGTCAAACATTATCAAGTGATGAATATAATTTATTACGAAGTGTATCAATTAAAGTTGTTCGTCATTTGGGTATTATTGGTACATGTAATGTACAATTTGCATTAAATCCATTATGTATGGAATATTATATAATTAAAGTAAATGCAGGGTTATCTTGTTCATCTGAATTTGCATCAAAAGCAACTGGTTATCCATTAGCATATATAACAGCTAAACTTGTACTTGGATTAAATTTAGTTGAATTGACAAATAATATAACGAATCAAACGTGTGCTTGTTTTGAACCAAGTCTCGATTATATAGTAATTTTAATTCCAAAATGGAATTTAGATAAATATGATCAATATTCAAACAAAATCGAAAGTAGTTCAAGTAAGTGATGATGATTTAACCCATTAAGGATAATTATTTTATTTTCAATAGAAAAAAGTACCGATGGAGTTACCGATGGAGATAAATCCATCGGTAGATCATTCGAGGAAGCTTTTCAAAATGCTCTACGAATGGTCGATCACGACATAATTAGTTTTCATTCAGATGCACCAACTATTGCAGATGAAGTTAAATTAATTAAAGAATTATCTAAAATTTTATTGTATTTTCTTGTAGGAATTAACAATTTGTCGTGCTGAACGTGTTCTCAATATAGCAACAGCTATTCGTCAAGGTTATACAATAGAACGTCTATTCGATTTAACAAAAATTGATCGATGGTATTTATACAAATTTGAAGCAATTATTAAATTTATTGTTGAACATTCTCATCCATCAACTATTAAACATAAATTCATTTTACGTGAAGCAAAACATTTAGGCTTTTCCGATCAACAAATTGTTAAATACTCACGTATTACTGAACTTAAACTTCGTGTATTATATGACCAATATGGTATTCAACCATTTCGGAAACAAATTGATACACTTTCAGGTGAATATCCAGCAGCAATAAATTACATTTATTACACTTATGATGGACAGGACGACGATACATAACAGAACAATGACAATAAATGTGGTACGGACCACTTTCTTTTTTTTTTTTTTATTTTTGATAAAAATCATATATTTTAAATATGACAAAAGTTATGACCTAGTACTTATTATCATATATCAGAATATCGAAAAGAAAAAAAGAAAATAAAAAAGTATTTCATAAAAAAAAAAAAGAAACTTTTTCATATGTCAAGATAACTAATACTGTTGGAAAGTATTTCCGTTAAAATAACATCTAAATGCAAATGAACAATAAAAAAAGAAAAACTTTGAAGAGAAAAGGAAAGAAAACTATTTGGTTTTAAGTATTCAACATCTGTCAATTGATACAGAAAGATAAAAATGCGTGAAGATAATTGAAATTTAATTTGATAATAATTGACACAAATAATAAATAAAAAAATATGTGTAGATGCATTCTATAAATTGCTGACGTCCATTAATCTTTATAAAAGATCTTTTTATGAAAGAAAAATACATTAAATACTCGATATAATAACAGGAATATATTAACAATTAAGAGAAGTTTATAGTGACACCTAGG